CTTTTCAGGCTGCTAGACCATCGGGCACATAGGGCTAGTTCCAAATCTTTATAGTCTAATTTTGACGTCATGCAAAGAAGTTCAACCACTTCTACACAATCTGTCTGAGAAGGTTAGTTGCGTATCCTTTACAGGATGTTGCAGAACCAACCCTAACAGCCCCTGGCTGTTGTGTGGTTTTTCTAGGCAAATTTACGTCCAGTAGTTTGCCATTGCTTACTGGACGGTCGGCTTTCTTGATACCACTGTCGAAACCAACGCAAGGCGCATGGCCCGCAGCTGGGATCGAACCCGGCATCCTGGCATTACGAAGCGTTCGCATCGAGTTAACCACAGAGCTGACCTGTCTGAGAAAGATACTGAAAATTAAGTAACAAGACAGGGTCCCGCATACTGTCATACAGGATAGAGCTGGCATTCCCAGCATTGATACCATCCTGATGCAGACACAGATTTGATGGAGAGGTCACCTCCTCCGTTTGCCAGAGCCTCGGCTGACAGAAATAATCTGTTACGGTGAGAGACAAGAAGGTAGACGCTCTCGTGGTGACAAAAAAAAAAAAAAGGCTTCAGTGACACGCTAAAGGTATAACTTAAACCCTGGTATCTTGAAGGCTGCTGTACAAGACCAGACTGTATGGCGAACGATAATCCGAAGAGGCGCAGCTGCTTGCAAGGCATCTGAAAAGGGGGGTGGGGGAGGGGAAGCTGAACAGCGAAGACAAGCTTGCAAGACCAGTCCGTGTGTTGTCCATCAAGATGATGATGACCACTCTTTTTCATTAAGTATGAGTACGAAGATGACTGATTAGGCCGATGCGGGCCCGAAAAGTTCTTGGACAGTGAGGACAGGGAATGAGCGTTGTGCTAGATGGGAGATCTCCTGCAGTCGCCTTTCTGTCAAGACCCGTGTAACAAGCCCTTTACCTACAAACACCGTTTCCTGCCCTCACTGTTCTAGATCTTTCCAACCCTTACTGGGCTTAAAAGTCACCTCCGAATCACAGACACCTCAGACTCACAGACACCTCAGACTCACAGTCATCTCAGACTCACAGTCACTTCAGACTCACAGGCACCTCTGACTCACAGACACCTCAGACTCACAGACACCTCTGACTCACAGACACCTCAGACTCACAGACACCTCCGACTCACAGACATCTCCGACTCACAGACATCTCCGACTCACAGACACCTCAGACTCGCAGACACCTCAGACACCTCAGACTCACAGACACTTCAGACTCACAGACACCTCAGACTCACAGACACTTCAGACTCACAGACACCTCAGACTCACAGACACCTCAGACTCACAGACACCTCAGACTCACAGACACCTCAGACTCACAGACACCTCAGACTCACAGACACCTCAGACTCACAGACACCTCAGACTCACAGACACCTCAGACTCACAGACACCTCAGACTCACAGACACCTCAGACACCTCAGACTCGCAGACACCTCAGACTCGCAGACACCTCAGACTCGCAGACACCTCAGACACCTCAGATTCACATACACCTCCGACACCTCAAACTCACAGACACCTCAGACTCACAGACACCTCCGACTCACAGATAGTGTGGTCAACTTCAAGCCGGGCACCTGTTGACTGTTCGTTGAGTAAATGTGCCTCTGTTGGCTTACAGTTATCAACCCGGTCACAGGACAAGACGTCCTTATCAGAGCGCTGCAAATGAAAACCTTAAGAGTGTGGACACAAGTGTGCCACTGTCAGTATTTGTTAACAAGGATGTCAAGATTGCTAAGCACGTGATATTACAAAGCAGACGAATATGGTGATGTCATGACAGTTTAAAGATGGCTGTCCCACTTTTGACATGCACCAAAAAGGAGCAGCATTCTATAATCGGTAAGGGGGTGAAACCGATAGAAATTCATCCGCGAATGGTGGTCCAATACAGTGATACATGCCTGTCAGTCAAACAAGTGTTTGGGTGGAGCAGGGGGCCGCCAAGGGCTGCAATTGACTCTGGGATCATTACTCAATGTGCCCCACCCGATCGTTAACAGTCTGTCACAGAAGTGCCAATTTGAAGCCTCCTGAAGGAGGAAAGGTCTGAAGTTCCAATCCCTACCTTCTTCTTCCGTCGTTTATCCTGCAGTAAAGCATAAGCCCTCAACCAACAGACGTCGTCGTCTTATCCTTGGCTGTTGCATGTAGCTCACCCCATGTCCTCCCCATCTTTTTTATTTTTTTAACTTCATTCTCTAGCTTCCTTCTCCGTGTGTTTTGGGTCTGCCTTTATTCCTATGCTGCCGTGGGTTTCAGCGCAAAGACATTCCAGTTAAAACGCATCTTGTAGATTTTGTTAAATGACCTTGACTCAGGTCTACTTATCCATAAATGGGTACCAGGTAAAATCCTGGGAAGCAAAAGTGGTCAGCATGATGTTGTTCACATCCCCCACCCGGTGACGTTTGGTCTATACAAATATGTTGCAACACATGCCCCGGCCTGTGTGTGCATGAAACGTCCTTTTGCGTCACTTAGAAGTAAAAGAATACATCGGCGGCCGGGTCGCCCATTGGCTCGCAACTAGACGACTTCGTCGCCGGCCGAGGGAGTATTTGGGTTTGTCTCCTTTGATCGCATCAGCACTTCAGGAGTCCTTTTCATGGCTTTTATTGCGTGCAATGCTAGGCCATTTTTTATGGCGCACATAACCTAGTCTCAGTTCTGACCTAGAGAGATTATTATGGCCTGGAGAGAAGGAGGCACCTGGGTGTAACCAGAGGGCCTGGCAGGCTCACTAGACTCAGAGACATATAGCCAGATTGTGACCGGTACCATCAGTATTAGAACTCTGCGCTGGCTGCTGCAGATGAGGACAAAGCACGCATGGGAATGCCCCGAGTGCTGTGATGTCAATTCTTGACTCAACTCAACTCAATTCTGACCTAAAGCTTCCCCTTCATGGATACTGGTTGAACGTTGCAATTTTTATTTTTGTTAGCAAAGCATTGAATCGGCAAAAGTAAAAGTGGCCGGCGTAGTTTTGACTTCATCGCCCATCGAGCGCCGACTGGTTTATTAACTCTTTGAGTCCCAGAGGTTTATCATCAGAGGGCCTAAGGAGTAGTCAAGAGAGACGTTAAATCGGCGCATCATGCGTTCATTTGGCCTCTAGGTAGGAAACTATGAGCATATGATGCGTTCCTTCAGACTCAAATAGTTAAAACACGACCTTAGCATCATATACCTGTTGTTCTAATGAAGTGAAAATTGTAATTACCTGTCTTTTTTTTTACTTCGTGTACAAACGACCTCTACCAACATTTTAATTTGCAACCTTATCATTCAAACCCAATCAACGATGCACCAAAGCCAGATTGTCTACATTGTAAAAACTCCCACTTTTAATTCAAACAACGCATAAGAACCAATGCTCACAAGTGAAATGGTATGTGCGTTCCTAAGACAATTTTCCCGAGAATGAAGCACATTTACCTGAGAAGTACGGAACAAGCAGTCTGTGCACAAATAAGCCAGATCTATCAAACGGATGTGCATGAAAACTCAAGTCCTAAGAAAAAGACTAAATTCTAGACATGGGCGAACAGTTTTCGTAGGAGTTCACAGCTGGTAAAAATAGTATTAATCATTAGAGAAGTCCAGACATGTCTGCTGAAACCAGCACCAGTTCACAATACGGACAGTCTGATTACTATTCCGGGTTTTCTTTTATTTAGAAGATAAGATTGCAATGACTGACTGACTGACTTTCTACCCCACCAGGACATCACACAAGCGATAAACACCCGATGACACAAAGTGCCATCATGCAGATGAGGATCGCCGTGGAGAGGTCCCAGAAACCGCGTTCAGACATTTGGCCACATGTATGGCCTGCCTATATTGCGGCCCCTGGCAAAAGCCAGAGTAGGGCTTCAAAAGACAAAAAATTTCATCCTAAAAAGGACGAAACTGGATAATAAAAGATTGCAATTACTTTAAGAGTTTTATAAATCTAAAAAGTAAGTAATTAATAATTCCTCTAATAATATTTTTGTGTTTGAATCTAAAAGTAAAAAAATATATATATCTCAAACTTATTTCAGTATTTATCTTCGTCTCATCCTCCTCCTGCTTTTTCTTCTTCTTCTTCTTCTTCTTCTTCTTCTTCTTCTTCTTCTTCTTCTTCTTCTTCTTCTTCTTCTTCTTCTTCTTCTTTAATTTTTAATTTCATCATCATACTCTTCCCCATCTTTCTTATTCCCCCTGTTTTTCTATTACCAGGACTTAATCTAATTTCCTACGAACAACTTTACAATCATGGACCGATTAACATAGTTTAGTTTCTACAATATAAACGTACACTCTCACACATGCTTCGGCATACAATTTATAATAATCAATAATCTATAATGTTCACAAATCATGCTAGGAAGCTATCTTGTGTGGTTCGGTCATCACCTGGCTTCGTTCAGAAACAGGAGAATGAAGGTACCTGTGGGGCAAACAATTTCTTTGTTTATTGTCTGTAGGTAAAGAAGTTCCCTTTTTCATTATTTTATTTATACATTTCATACTGTTTCATATATATATTTATATATAAAAGTGTGTGTGTATATATATATATACTGCAGTAAACAATACGTACCCAAACCGTTAAGTGTACCGATATATATATATATATATATATATATATATATATATATATATATATATATACACCGCAGTAAACAGTACGTACCCAAACCGTTAATGTACCAATATATATATATATATATATATATATATATATATATATATATATATATATATATACTGCAGTAAAACAATACGTACACAAACCGTTAAGTGTACCGATATATATATATATATATATAAATACTGCAGTAAACAATACGTACCCAAACCGTTCAGTATACCGATATATATATATATACGTATTGTTTACTGCAGTATATATATATATATATATATATATATATATATATATATACTGCAGTAAACAATACGTACCCAAACCGTTAAGTATACCGATACTGAGGAACAGCCAAAACCAGTCGAAATGAAGTAAAATGGCACGAATGACTGGCGGTGAGATCAGGTTGAGAACAATCTGAAATGTAGTAGGGTATTAGGGAGTTAATTGTCATTTAGGAAACATGATATGAGGAGGAGAGTCCTCAGAGAACCAATAAGGAACTTTATTGCGAGACAGCAGGTCAGGTTGTTTGGCCATGTGACAAGAATGGGAGCAGACAGGGCACCACAAAGAGCAATGTTATACAAATACAGTGATTTGGTCTTTTCAGACGATAGTGTTATATGAGCAATGAGGAGGCATGGAACTCACAGCTTGTGGCAATGGCGAGTGTGACTCGTAAGACCCGCCTGCAAAAGATGAACGCCATAAATACTGCAGACACTGAAATACTGACTGACTTTCTACCCCACCAGGACATCACACAAGCGATAAACACCCGATGACACAAAGTGCCACCATGTGGGTGAGGATCACTGTGGAGAAGTCCCAGAAACCGCGTTCAGACTTTAGGCCATTTTTATGGCCAGGCTATATTGCGGTTCCTGGCAAGAGCCAGAGTAGGGCTTCAAATAACGAAAAATTTCGTCCTGAAAAGGACGCAAAATATAGACACTGAAAAGTACTATATACGAAGCGAACAGAAGGACCTGTTCTAGAACAGCGTTTCTCAAACTGTTATCGCTACGGCACCATTATCGGGCACAGCTGGCATACGCTCACGGTACCCTAGTTGCCGCGGCACCAAGTTTGAAAACCAATGTTCTGGAGATCTCATCATGCCTTGACGCTGCGACCTATTCCAGGAGTTTAAACAAAAGAAGAAGAATGTCGTTAACTGTGACAAAGTAGGTGGAAGTGAGGCAGAAAGGGAGGTAAGTAGACAGACTGGCGTTAGTTGGTAGCAGTGTTGCCACTTTGGATGTTTTACATCCAGATTTAGATGCTTTTCCTTGCATTTAGATGGCGTTTTTGACCTTTGGATGGTAGATGTCTTTCCATATGTTTTTCATTTGGAGTAAATTTATCAAATCTAACCTAGAAACAGGATGAAATTTGACCTCGTAAATGCTATCTTGACAATAAAATTCGGCCTGATAAGAGTAGGAGAAGGATGTTTCACTTATCAGCTCCCTGATTGGGTATAAAAAGAAATTGGAACAGCTAAAGCATACCAGAGTCATTTTGGATCTGAAGCTTCAACTTCACCATCCAAGCTAAGTTTATCCTGTGGATATTTTAAGGCGGACTTCAGTAAAGATGAGGACATGACTCTTTAGGGTAAGTCATATCAATTGCTATGTACTTTGTGACTCTTTCCACTTGGATGTTTTTTCTAGATGTTTTCCACGCAAATTTAAATGTTTTTAGATATTTTTTGACTCTGTTTTTGATGTCTTTTATCAAAGAAAAGTGGCAACACTGGTTGGTAGATCTGAAGAATTCAGGCGGATATGCGACAGAGATACATGTGGCTGTGGAAACAGGCTAAGTCTGACTGACTGACTTTCTACCCCACCAGGACATCACACAAGCGATAAACACCCGATGACACAAAGTGCCACCATGTGGATGAGGATCGCCGTAGAGAGGTCCCAGAAACCGCGTTCAGACAATCGGCCATATTTATGGTCTGCCTGTATTGCGGCCCCTGGCAAAAGCCAGGGTGGGGCTTCACATAATAACAAGAAAATTTCATCCTAAAAAGGACGATACACCTATAACAACAGGCTAAGTATACAGGCTTAGGAGAGGGGGAATTGGAGCTTGTTGGGATTATGGTAGACAAATGGAAACACAAGAGACCAAATGTAGTTGGATAAATGGGTGTGTAAATAGCATACAAGGCATACGTTTCTAAGTAGATAGACGGGAAGGTACAGACACGTAATTTGATAAATAGTATGGCAATAAAATACACAAGTGAGTAAGTCGGTTGGTAACTTTGTTGACAGACAGACAGACAGTTGGACAGACAGACAAACATTCAAGCAGGTATATGGATAAATAGATATTATGAAAATATTTGTTATGTAAGTAGGTCGATGGATGGATGTTTTGTAAGACAGACATACAGTTGCAGAAGAGAGGCAGACAGAGACAGCAGAGAAGACAGAGAGACAGATGATGCAGACAGACAGACAGACAGACAGACAGACAGACAGACAGACAGACAGACAGACAGACAGACAGACAGACAGACAGACAGACAGACAGACAGACAGACCCACCCACCGACCGACCGACCCACCGACCGATAGATAGATAGATTAGATAGATAGATTATATATGTTGACACTAAGCAGGCAGAAACATAAGGTCAAGCAGACAGACAGAGAGACTTACCTGTGAAGAGAGGATCAGGCCGTAATTGATGGCGTAGTGCTTCTCGCCGAAACACCTGAGAGCGGCCAGGGGGATGAGTATAAAGGCCCCAGTGAAGGCCGCGGAGATGGCGATGACGGCGAACATGTAGAGGCCAGGGCTGGACAGGCTGAAGAAGTACAACGATGAGATGACCGTCGTGCTGGCCATGAACATGATTAGTGTCCCCTGAAAGGTGAAACAAGTTTAAATATATATCAGTGACAGGCAATATATATGTGTGAGAGACAAGCAGGCTATATACATGTGTGAGAGACAAGCAGGCAAAATACATGTGTGAGAGACAAGCAGGCAATATACATGAATGAGAGACAAGCAGGCAATATACATGTGTGAGAGACAAGCAGGCAATATACATGTGTGAGAGACAAACAGGCAATATACATGTGTGAGAGACAAGCAGGTAATATACATGTATCAGAGACAAACAGGCAATATACATGTGTGAGAGACAAGCAGGCAATATACATGTGTGAGAGACAAGCAGGTAATATACATGTATCAGAGACAAACAGGCAATATACATGTGTGAGAGACAAGCAGGCAATATACATGTGTGAGAGACAAACAGGCAATATACATGTGTGAGAGACAAGCAGTTAATGTATATGTATCAGAGACAAACAGGCAATATACATGTGTGAGAGACAAGCAGGTAATATACATGTCTCAGAGACAAACAGGCAATACACATGTGTGAGAGACAAGCAGGTAATATACATGAATTAGAGACAAGCAAGCGATATACATATATGAGAGACAAGGAGGCAATTTACATGTGTGAGAGACAAGCAGGCAATATACATGTGTGAGAGACAAGAAGGCAATATACATGTGTGAGAGCCAAGCAGGCAATATACATGTGTGAGAGACAAGCCGGCAATATACATGTGTGAGAGACAAACAGGCAATATACATGTGTGAGAGACAAGCAGGCAATATACATGTATGAGAGACAAGCAGGCAATATACATGTGTGAGAGACAAGCAGGCAATATACATGTGTGAGAGACAAGCAGGCAATATACATGTGTGAGAGACAAGCAGGCAATATACATGTGTGAGAGACAAGCAGGCAATACACGTGTGTGAGAGACAAACAGGCTATATACATGTGTGAGAGACAAGCAGGCAATACACATGTGTGAGAGACAAACGGGCAATATACATGTGTGAGAGACAAACAGGCTATATACATGTGTGAGAGACGAACAGGCTATATGCATGTGTGAGAGACAAGCAGGCTATATACATGTGTGAGAGATAAACAGGTTATATACATGTGTGAGAGACAAGCAGGCAATATACATGTGTGAGAGACAAACGGGCAATTTACATGTGTGAGAGACAAACGGGCAATATACATGTGTGAGAGACAAACAGGCAATATACATGTGTGAGAGACAAGCAGGCAATATACATGTGTGAGAGACAAACAGGCTATATACATGTGTGAGAGACAAGCAGGCAATATATGTGTGTGAGAGACAAGGAGACAATATACAAGTATCAGAGACAAACAGGCAATATACATGTGTGAGAGACAAACAGGCAATATATGTGTGTGAGAGACAAACAGGCTATATACATGTATGAGAGACATGCAGGCAATATACATGTGTGAGAGACAAACGGGCAATATACATGTGTGAGAGACAAGCAGGCATTAGAAATATATGTGATACAAGCAAGCGATATGCATATATGAGAGACAAACAGGCATTACACATATATGTGATACAAACAAGCGATATGCATATATGATTGACAAACAGGCATTATACAGAAATGAGAGACAAACATGAATTATACATACATGAGATACAAACAGACGTTATATAAATATGAGAGACAAACATGCATTATACATATATGTGATACAATCAGGCAATATACATATATGAGAGACAAATAGATATAGCAGGTAAAGTATATGAGAGACAAACATATATAGTAAACATATGAGAGACAAACAGGCATAGTAAACATATGAGATACAGATGCAGCAAACATGTATGAAACAAACAGGCATAGTAAACATATGAGAGATAAACAGCCACAATAATTATGTAAGAGACATACAAGAATATTAAATATTTAAGACAGGTGTGGAAATTATATGGGGGCACGTGATTCCATTCTATCCTGTGCCAATATTATGCTTTTCTTATAACTAATGACATAATAGCGGCGTCCGTGGCTAAGGCGTTGCGAGTCCGACTCGTAACCCAGCATACCGCGATCGAAACCCACTGCTGGCTGCGTGGATTTTTGTAGTGGTATGGGGCGTTGCAGGTCGACCCAGCCTAAAATGGGTACCAGGATGGGCTGTCCTGGGAAAGTAAAGACAGCCGGCGTAATGCTGACCACATTACCCACAGAGTGCTGATGGTCTGTAAAAATATGGGACGCTCTGCCCATATGCCCGATGCGCCGAAAGGCGTGAAAAGGGATCTTTACTTTTGACTTTTTAATGACATAATGCTTAGGAATGCGTCAGTTAGACGTTAGTTTGTCTGTCCTCTAGAACCTAAGGCGGCGTATAGAATAGAGGTCTATGACTGGCAGTATGTTGCCACCTGATTTAGGTCTTGGGAGTTCACTAGGCCCATAGTTGAGCCTTCCCTGATGATGGTTCTACACAGAGTCTCTCTTGGTCTTCCTCGCTTTTTCTTTTCCCTTCCGGTGTCCATATGAGGGCTTGATGGGACAGTCTTGTCTTATCCAGTCTGAGTGCACTGCCGATGTAATTCCAGCGGTGCTTTCTTTAAAAAAAATTGATACATTTTCTTGCCTGGTATTTTGTTGTTGTGTTTTTTCTTTCTTTGCGTATTGAATCTGAAATCTGTCCAGTGGGAGATTGTATTCTTCTAATACATCTGTTCTCAAATCTGTCTATTTTTTTTTTAAATCAAGAGCTACTGTTGCTTTCCAACTCTGGCATCCATAAGGTGCTACGAGTTGAAGATCTTAAAGTTTTATGTATTTGCTTGAGTGTCTTTGACTTCCAGATGCGTAGAGCCCAACAACAACAAAAATATTTATTAATTCGATGTCCTGTTATGCCATTGTATGTTATATAGGGTTCGCAGTTATTCCTTCACATCTGTTCTATCATGCGCAGTCTGTTTGATATCATGGATGGAATCCAGTCCAGCAGCTTTGTCCTCTCTCATCAACGTTCATCCTAGGGTTTCTTTTTAGCGTCCTCGTCTAAGCACAAGAGTGATGTAAATTTGGCTTTCCAGTATACAAGTCTTATCTCCATAGTTTGTGGGGGTTTTTTGCTGGAATTTTTAGATTGTCTGAGTCTGGTGATGTCAGGACGAGTTCTCTCAAATATTCGCACGTCATTCTGCCTGTAACAGTCACTTCCCTCTGTCTCTTCCCCATTACTGTAACATACCGTTTGATTTGACTCTTTCCCTCGGTTTTTCCTAGGTCTGTTTCTATTATATTACGTCTGCTGGTACCTCTAAGGCTTTCATTATGCCGACTAGTTCGACTATGAAAACTAACGTATGATTTATATAAACAAAATTTTCCAATAAGGAATTTCTTCTTCTTCTTCAGCGATCTCTGGTCATGCACATAATACACTGTGGGTCATAAACTGGGATGTCTTTTCAAGGTCTCTTAGGTTTCCCCAAAGCATAGTTGTCAATTCTACTGGGTGTTGCCATATGTCGCTCCGCAGCTCCGCCAGTAGAGGACAGTCTTGCAGGACATGTTCTGGAGTCTGCTCAGCACGAAGGCACTAGCAGAGAGCTGTTTGGCTCATACCTAATTTATGTGAGTGTTTATTGAGTCTACAGTGTCCAGTGCGTACGCGAAAAACTGTGACTTGATCTGTTCTGTTCAAGTGTTCAATAAGGAATTTAAGCTTCTCTGCTATGGTCCTTACTTACTCGTAGAGGGTCAGTGTTTTATTAAATCTGTTTTGCCAGGTTCCAGGCTCATGTCTGCATAGGGTGGTTTCAATTCTCATGGTGGTATCTGAGGATTTATCTCTTACTTAATTGTCCTAAAAATGTCCTAGTCATAGACACAGCTTCCATTTTCAAGTTTCTCTCTCAGGAAAGCTTCATAAAATTATATGAGAGTGGCTTGGTAAGCTCCACATCCATTTCCTTTAATTGTCCTAAAAATGTTGTTAATTATTTTACATTTGTCTACCGTTGTATCAATATATTTGCCCCAGTTCATCTGTTCGTCAAAAATCATTCATAGAAACGAGTTCTTATTCTTTGGATTGGTTTTCCATTGGTTCTAATTGTAACAGTATCACTGCTCTAGTAGCATTCTCTTTTGTAGTTAAATACCGTGCTTTTTGTGGTATTTATTTTGAAACCCCGTTTAATCATCCAAATAGTAACATTATCGACTTCTTTTTGTAATATATTTCTTGCCGTCTTCACTAACTTAAGATTTGTAAATATCGAACAATCATCGCGTCAGGCTTACTCCTAGGTTTTTACTTATCTGGTTAAAATCATTACCAGGCCTGAGAATATTGTTGGCGATAACACCGCACCTTGGAGGATTCCGTTTTCCTGTACGTAAATATTTGATCTGTAATTGTTAATGATCACTGAGAATGTCCTGTCATCCACCTAATCCTAGTTTAATGTCTCAGACTTTACAGGACGGCTTGTCGCCAACTCTGCTCATAAGCTTGAGCAAAGACTAAAAATATAGCTGTTGTTTTATTTCGTTTTGTGAATCTTCTTTTCACTCAGTCCTCTAGTTTAATTATTTAGTCCATTGTAGACCTGTTGGCTTTAAATCCTGTCTGGATTTTATTGAATAAGTTATTTTTCTCCGTTTGAAAAGTAATCCAGCCAGAAGTGGACTCAATTCGATACGTGATATCGAAGTGATTGCAGAGGAAATGACGGAATGGAGAAATCCACTGAAAGCCCTGTGTGACACATAACTGCATAACATGACTCCATAAACAAACAGAGAATAGATGAAAGAATAAATAAATCGAGAATTGGTGTCACTGCACTGGGGACATTTCTGTACGTGCTCCGTCTCCTTCATCGGTAACCAACGAAGAGTTGACATTTTAACGCTACCAGTTGCAACCTGATTAAAAGTCGGCCTCTGTTTCCTCTTCAGTGTTCAAGATCTTCCAGAACATCTACAGCCCCACGACACCCTCGCCCCCACCCTTTACGATGAATTAGTCTTTCAGCGTATGGGTTTTCTGTCTCTTCTTTTGTACTACCCATTTGATACCACAGAGCCTTCACCACATCCGGTTTATCATATAGTAGCTCACCGCCCAGAGGAGTGGCAGCAGCTAATCTATCAGCCTGCTCACGACCTAGCACACCTGAATATTCCGGACAGAGAATAAAATCAAGAACGACCTACCTTTGTTCCAAAAACGTCGGTGGCAATACCCCAAAACAGCCTGGCCACGGATACACCGATGGTTGCCACGGTTCCTGTCGTTGTCAGAAAGTGGTCATTATCAATTTTAAGTTGGCCAAACTCCTGCGAAAAGTAAATCCTTCATATACAAACGGTACTCAACAGAAAGCAACATGCAATAATTTTATGTCTTAGAATTTTACTTCTGTCCACAAAAACACTACGTCTAATGTACTGGCATAGTTAGAACAAGCCTGCACTGTAACTCATACTTATAACTTACAATGTATTCGCACTTAGGACGGGTCCCCAATGTAATGACTGCCCTTTTGTGTCTCCTCCACACTGGCTATCTGTGGTGCAGAGTTAACTCTGGCTCTGAGGTCTAGAGGTTCACAACTCAATCAAAGCAGACATGATCCTCTTCATGGTCACACAACGTCTAACAACGGTTAACACCAGCGGCACATTTCACGAGTTTATTTACACGTTAGCTCAATACACAAATCACAGGTGAATCCACTTACAGCATTCGGACAATAGACGTTGACATATTCACAGCTGGCTTTGACAATCAAACAGGGTACCATCACAGCTGGCCTTCTCGATCATTCATTCCTCGCCGATTCAGATCCACATGCTCTAGTCATTCTCCATTCATCTTCACAGCTTCATTTTCCATCCTTTCTCTCTGGGGCCCAGTCACCGAATGCCCGCCTGATTCTCAATCCCCCAGATCTCCTCATTCACACGTGACACTCTTTCCTGTCGTTTCACCATATCTCCGTGAAACCCATGCTCTCAGGGACTTCCCCAGTTATGCCAATCATCCCCTGACATTATCCCTATTTATAACATCATTACAAGGATCAACTACTACGTGCATGAAATAAGACTTTACAGTCCCTACAGTATTTATGTTAGACGAGATCACCAACACCTGAGCTCACTCTGCAGACCTGCCGACTCTACCTACAACTATGAAAGGAAATCTGGCCTCAAATGAAAAGTGTGCCGAGTAAGCTGTGGGGAACAATGGCGGCTGCAGCAGACAGGCGAGTTCATAGAGGCAACCAACCTGACAGTTTGAGCTGAGCATGTGAAACCGGATGCAAAGAAGAAAAATAAAAAACAAAGACACTAGGTACATTGTTTGATGAGCGTGTTTTGCTAATTAATTCAACTTTCCTTTAGCTTGAGAACCAGCTGCACACACGTTGTGACCAGTGACACGTGTAAGCGTTAGCAGGTAACCTTTACACAGGAGAGAATATCACGTGACATTTTTCTACTGGTCGCTTCACTGTTGAGGGTATACGTCGTAGTGCAACAATCGCGTTCACATGTTACAGTTTCTGCAGTCTGTAAGAGTGGCGGAAGTATGCAGCGAGCATTCTTTTTATTTTTATTTTAAAAAATTATATTTTCGAGAAGTAAATCAAGTGATGAATGTGTAATAAATAAACAGTAACAATAAATAGTAATTGTAATAAACATTACACAGTAATAATAAATAGTAAAATATTGCGGTTTTTTTTTTCTTTAGCAATGGAAAGTTTAGGCAGTCGTTGCACGCCTGGTCACTGGTTGTGATTGTAACAGATTCACGAAGGATGCTAGGAGAAGTGGAAAAAGGCATGCTCCGTATGGAGTAGCAATCATCTCTTGAGAGGACTCTGGTAGTTAGCGTCTGTTAAATCTTGTCACTGTAGGTGTATTGAAAGGCAAACAGGAAAGCCGACTGTCTGGTTCTGTATCACCGCGGCGGGGAGAGAATGGCGCAACGGGGAATGACCAGAAAATATGGCCGATTTTTACATTCAGAGGTAAGGCCAGGCATGCATATAAACAAACAGCTACTGGTACCAACGGAATTACAACTCTACACTGGCTGCTGTAAATGAGGACGGAGCGTTTGCGGGAATGTCCCCAAGTGCTGTAATTAATCACAGAATTAACATCTTAGGATCAATATAACCAGAATGTTCTTGCACGGAAACCTATAGGGTCGAAAAAATATGGGTATGGATATTAAAGGCGATCGATCTGTGAGTTAATGTTAAATTAGAAAGGGAAAATACGACTTGGTGTGGATTCGAACCCAACACTTGTGGGTGGGCAGGCCAGCGTCTAAACACTAGGCAACAACAGCTGACCTCTACAATGATTTTATTTCATTATCCTGTTGTGCCATTATATGTCACATAGGGCCCACGGTTTACTCCTGAATTCCAATAGTTCAATAACATGGATGCAATCCAGTCCTGCAGCTTTGGCTCTTTTCATCAACGTTCATCTTAGGGTTTCTTTTAGGCGTCCTCACCTCCCTAATCCCTTTAACTCCAATTGCAATGACTGACTGGTGATTCTCTACCGGATTCTTCTTAAGATGTTTCCAGTGTAGCGCCTCATAACTGTTGATTCCAGTGGTTGATAAAACATTTTTTAAAATTTTATTTCTTCACTCCTTTTAAATTCCTTTCCCTCCATGTCATTGGTGGCTCTCCAACATACACTGAATTATGTTACAATTAAAATAACATTAGAAAAGACATTTATTTTTTAACCAGGTCGGTCTCAAAAATGCCCAGCCTGGCCGCCCGACTACCCAAAGAATATTACGTCATGATTTCCAGGCTAAACAGGGAAACCTCTGGGCATGAGTTTTTTTTTTTTTTTTTTCCAGTGATGTCTCATGCGGTTTGGGTTTCAACGTGACTTGGTTTTAGGACCGATCCTCGTCCCTTTGGTCAGGCCAGTGCGGCAGAGCTACACTTTGATCGTAGACAAAAGGCCGAGAAGTGATTAGAAAAGAAAATACGTCACTTAGTTTTACAACTTATACATCTATGATGACCTTCTAGTAATTGCTACTAAAATACCCATATTTTTTTCCGTCTTGATAATGTATCTTTGTTGATTATTTACAGTACTGACATTGTTCTCAGGTCGTTAGTTCCATTATTCTCTGTCCCTTTTTACTTTTCAAAAATAAATTGTATCACTAATCATTTCGCTAATTGATGGCCTAATTGTCATCTTTGTGCTTGGTAATGCTGGTGATGGAGGCAACGATAGTGCATATTTTGTTAAAGACACTGCAGTTGCTATAACTCAGAGTTATTCAGCTAAGTTTACTTAGTGGCCACAATGATGAAAACAAAGAGCGGCCATATTTTCTTGCAGGCACTGCAGTTGCTATAGCTCAGTGTTATTCAGCTAAGTTTACTCAGTGGCCACAATGATGAAAACTGGGATCGTCGCGTGACAGAGCCCTGTAATAGAAAGATCCAAGTTGAATAGTCTTGCTAGAGATGGTCCGGTACTGGACAGGCGCGAAGTCACCATTGCCGTGCGCAGCACAAGTCTTGAAGCTGAATATGGCAAACGGTATGACTCCTTTTCCCTGTCTAGGCTGATGGACACAGAGGTGCGACCTGGAGCTGCAGGAAATAAACCGTTCACCAGGGTGGGGGGGGGGGGGCGGGGGGGGGGGGGGGGGGGGTAAGACGTTTGAACAATCCACACAGAATAGGCGTCATCGGTCGTTGTAGCCTGTGAAGCGTTCAAGTATCAGATGAGAAAACTTGTGAATCTATCCAGAGTGCTGTGATGATACTTCTCACTATTCTCGAATTGTTCTTAATTACATACGCATACTGATTATGCATTGTGTTGCAGCTGTTCTTGATAATATGCCCATAGTGGCTACCTTATATATAACCACAGCTACGAGTACTTGAAAACACATAAGTAAAGTAAAATATTGTAAAGAACCATTTCAACGCCTTCAGGAGTATTGGCAATTATAGGAGTATTGGTATTATAAACCAATCGGTACAGCATCACGCTGGCCACTTTTACTTCCCATGATTTTACCTGGTACCCATTTAAGGCTATGTAAACCTGAAATGTCTGGATAGGATTTATATAAACAGTTGTTAGACAAAGAGGGTGGTGATATATTTGGTACATCTTTACAAGAAGCAGCCACGTAAATGATAAACTGAAGGTTTAAGGAAACATGGACGTCCACAACAAACCATAAGACGAATTTTGATGAGAGGTTGAGTTGACACTGAAACAACTGCACAGTAGAAAATTTAAAAAAATAAACAACTCAACTCAAGAATAGACTCCCAGCTAACGGGCAAATAAAGGCATAACAGCATGTTGACAAATATTAGGGACAGGAGAATCATGGGGCAAAACGTTAAACGGCAACCCTAAGAAACGCAATCTATTGTAAGTTGTAAAGTTTTCTCAGTAAGTGAGTAAGGAAATTGTACCCCACCAGGACATCACACAGAGCGATAAACACCCGGTGACACAAAGTGCCACCATGCGGATGAGGATCACATGTGGAGAGGTCACAGAAACCGAGTTCAACCGGTAGGCTATATTACGGCCCCTGGCAAAAGCCGGGGTGGGGCTTCAAAATAACGAAAAATTGCGTCTCACATGGGGACGACTCTGGTTATTAAGTTTCCCCACCCTAGGGGACATAACCCATTGTTTGCGTGAGTTCACATAATAATACTCTTAATATTTAATACTGTCTGCGATTAGGATAAGGGGTACAGTTAGATTTAGGGTTACCCTAATCCTAACCCATACCCTAACCTAAAGCAGTATTAAATATTACAGTACATTATTATGTCAAAGTACGCAATCAATGAATTGTGTCCCTTATGGTCACCGAAAACAAACCATAAATTGCGTCCCTTAGGGTGGCCGTTTGAAGTATTGCCGGATGGTAGTTACCTTATAGTAATTGTTCTTGATGATATATCCGTAGTGATTGAACGCTAGAACGAACCACAGGATGTAGAAATCGGGCGACCTCAGAACCTCTTTCGGGGTTTTGTCCCTTCTTTCTTCCACAATATGAATGCTGGTTATTGTAACCCGTTTGCTGGGGGTCTCAGGGTCAAGTACGGTGTGTTCGCTTGCTATTGACTTTCTCTTGGCGGGGTCGCCATTCGTTCTACTTGACTTTTCCTCTAACTTTTCCTCAACGTTAGACTTCGCTTCCTGCATCTCGATTATTTCTATCTGTGGAGTGTGAAGAACACTACAAATTCGTTAATTATCTCTATCTGTGGAGTGTGAACAACACTAAAAATTCGTTAATTATCTCTATCTGTGGAGTGTGAACAACACTAAAAATTCGTTAATTATCTCTATCTGTGGAGTGTGAAAAACACTAAAAATTCGTTAATTATCTATCTGTGGAGTGTAGAGAACACTAAAAATTCGTAAATTATCTCTATCTGTGGAGTGTGAACAACGCTACAAATTTGTTAATTATCTCTATCTGTGGAGTGTGAACAACACTACAAATTTGTTAATTATCTCTATCTGTGGAGTGTGAACAACACTAAAAATTCGTAAATTATCTCTATCTGTGGAGTGTGAACAACACTACAGATTCGTTAATTATCTCTATCTGTGGAGTGTAGAGAACACTAAAATTTCGTTAATTATCTCTATCTGTGGAGTGTAAACATCACTACAAATTCGTTAATTATCTTTATCTGAGAAGTTATATATTATCCTTACGTCTTTTTGAGGACACAATTTTTTGTTATTTGAAGCCCCACTCTGGCTTTTGCCAGGGGCCGCAATATAGGCAGGCCATAATTATGGCCAATTGTCTGAACGCGCTTTCTGGGACCTCTCCACGGCGATCCTCACCCACATGGTGGCACTTTGTGACATCGGGTGTTTATCGCTTGTGTGATGTCCTGGTGGGGTAGAAATTCAGTCAGTCAGTCTGAGGAGTGTCAACAACACTAAATAATCGTTAATTGTTTTTTTTTTATATTTAAGGAGTATAACCAACACTAGCAAGTCGTTAATTATCTTCATTTGTTGGCTTTAAAAAAAAAAACACACACACACAATAACCGGTTATATTTCTTTTCGTATGGTTTAAACATGCTAATAATCATTAATTATTTCTATCCGTGGGGTGTAAACATCATAATCCATAATTACTTCTATATGTGGTAGCTTAAACAAAACAACAATCCGTATTTATTTATACTTGTGGGTTTTAAACAATGCGATACTCGTGAATCATCACAGTTTGTGATTTTTTAACAGTGAAATAATCGGTAATTTGTTTATCCTAATGTTTTAACCAATGTAATATTCGCTAATTAGCTAAGTGGGTTTTAAACAATGCAATAATCGTGAATCATCACAGTTTGTGGGTTTTAAACAGTGAAATAATCGTTAATTTGTTTATCCGAATGTTTTAACCAATATAATAATCGCTAATTAGTTAAGTGGGTGTTAAACAATGCAATAATCGTGAATCATCACAGTTTGTGGGTTTTAAACAGTGAAATAATCGTTAATTTGTTTATCCGAATGTTTTAACCAATATAATAATCGCTAATTAGTTAAGTGGGTGTTAAACAATGCAGTTATCGTTAATTAGTTTTATCTGACGGTTTGAATTTGTGTCTTTTCAGCCATTATTTTTGTTTGTTTTGTTACGTTGTTTGCTATTCTGTGCATGGAATTGTTGTTTATATGTTTGCATCTTTTGTCTGTCAGGGTAGGCATTCTTTCTTCTCTTCGATGGCTGGAGTGGCTAGATCCCTAAAGCTTTTACCTTACCGTCCTGAGGTTCGTGATGTCTCACTCATTACGGCATATCAACAAAGCAGGTCCTAAGTACGCCACTCAATCTTCGAAGAAGGCGCCATTATGGGTAACCTATAGCCCTGTACTTTAAGGAAATGCGAGGGGATCGGCTTCGTTTTACTGGGACTTATTTAAACTTAAGGCAATTAGAAGCAATGTCAAACTACAAGAAACAAAATAGAGGGAGAACCCATGGGGCCGTAGAGATATTATGTGTGTGTGTGTATGTATATATATATATATATATATATATATATATATATATATATATATATAAACAATTATACATTGTATTGATTGACACTCATAGAAAGAAGTAGAAAGATAGAAGGATATACTAGACAACATATTATTAAATTGCCGGGAATCGAATCTGTCACCTCCAAATGGCTTGTATGACTCGCTATGGAAACAAGTGTATAACTTACTTTAACGAACATGATGAATTAGACACCCCCTCCTCCAACAGAAAAAAAATATATCTTCATTGGACATGTCTATCGTATCACTTGAAATCCACAACTTTGGAATACGGACATAATTCATGTCAAACCATTAAAATGGCACCGTAGGTTACATAAATTTATTTCAACCAATCACGAACGCAGCAACAATGTACAAACATTGCAGACCGTAATGCTGAACCTGATTCAGCAACGTCCCGTAAATGGTACACAAACTTAAACTTACGCACCTCGTCGCCCTCAACTGGTAACCTCAGTAACAGCACACCTATAAGTTGTAAGATCACTGTTAGAGCCCCTAAGACCAGGAAAACTAGTGGGATCCTCCGGAGAATCTCTGGCTGGCTAAAATATCTGCAACAGAGGAAAACAGAAGCGTCGATTCTAACAGTTCACAGAACGTGGATTCTTCTGTATTTCATTTCCCAGTGAAGCCAGGGGCGTCAGCATAAGGGAAGCTATGCGGGTCAACGTTAAAAGACGTTAATTGAAAATACTGATAATTATTTCCCTGAAAATGAGGATTCTCGTAAGGGCAACCTATTGAATATTAATCCCTTCTTAAAAGATATAAAATCATGCGAAATTCAAAATCACACAAAAAAGAAAAGCTGACAGAGTTGACTTTTGATGGTGGTCTTATGATCAATAATAAAATGTAATCATTGTATGATTACTAATAAACTGCAAACATTCATTAACCGATGCCCAAGCAGAATAGAGGGAATTTACAGGCAGACCTTCTATTCAATCATGTAATCAATAATGATGATGGCAATGATGTTTTGATGATGATGACGATGATGGTAATGGTGATAAAGATGATGAGACTGGTGATTATGATGATGTTCACAATGAGAATAATCATGAAGATGATGAAAAGGGTGAATGATTAAAATGATGACAGTGACAGTGAAAATGAAAATAATGATGATAATGAAAATCCTGATGACGATGACGAGGATGAAAATGATGATCGTCTGACTAAATATTTTGAATGAGGGGTAATCAATAAGTAAGTCACAAATGGTTACGGGGTGGCAGGAGAATGTAATTGGTGGTTTCTAAAGGTGTCATTAGATGACAGCAACATCGAACTTTATGTCTCCGCTCGTTAGGTGGCGCTAGGTGCTGCATGCGCATTCGCAACACAGAAACAAAATGGGGACTGTACTTACGGAGTGTATCCTCAAAGGGCTTTTTTTCTGGCGGTACTCAACAGTACTTATTAAAGGCATTTTTTTTAAAATCATGCGCATTGTAATGCCGGAGTGCCGGCTTCGATTCCAGCTGCGAGCCTTACGCATTGCGTTGGTTTCGACAGTGTTATTCAGAAAGCAATGGCAAACTACTGGACGTAAATTTGCCTAGAAAAACCACAACAGCTAATGCTGGTCTTGGTTCTGCAAAGTCCTGTAAAGGATACGCAACTAACATATATATATATATATATAATACCCTAGCACTGCTCGCCACCAAAAGCCCTGAAAAGGACTCATGCAGTGAGTGTTAATGTTGTCAGATTAGACAGACCCAAATACGGTCCCGACCAGCGACGAAGTCGTCTACCGGCGAGCCAGTAAGCGAACCAGTCACCTGAGGCGGTCGGTTCTGCGACGTGTTGGTAATATCACGTTTAGTTGCTACATTACAA